TGAGGTGACGAGCATACCTCCCTTCATGAAAAGATGGAAGCCTGTTTTTCGTTATGCTTAGAGCTAGTTGCGTATGGACCCCCTGCAGTGTGTTGTTTTTAACTCACTACCCTCCACATTTATTTTGGCATACAGACCCCATGAATCTCTTTCGACCTCGGGCGCGGGGCGGGGCGGGGGTAGTCACAAACAATTTTCTCTTGCTGTGAGGGGAAAAGAGTTAAAAAATATCACTCGGGGGGGTGTATATGCAGAAGTGAAGGTACTGGGGTAGGAAGTTCATAACAGTGCCACTGAAGTGGGTGTATCCGCGGTTAACCCTTTAAACTAAATTTCAAATAAAATGAAATGATCCCTGAAGCATGACACCGGCATATAACAACAGTGAATTTCGTTATCCCAGTTTTCAGGGACCGGGTGCATGAATCAAGGATCTTTTGTCGGGGGAAAAAAAACTGGGAAAGTAAGTTCCAAAATGTATGTTAAAACAAAATGAAGATATCCACTAAGTTGGCGGATAACCGCATTGGCTAACATCCCCATTCATAACCAATTTGTACAAACATAAGGAGCCAGGAAAAGACGGGGAAAAGATTATGAACCTTGGTCTCCAGAAAATGCCCTATTCTATTCTCATTCGCTAGCCATCACAAATTAAGTCAATCTAATTGAAGCCATTATATAAGCCCATTACGAGGCTGGTGCTCGTTCATTTCAAAAGCTAACTGAACTCCAACTCGAAACAGTGCGTACGAGATCACAACTAAACCAGCAACTAAGACCAACTAACTTCAGCTAAATTAGACATCCCGCTTAATAGAGAGAAGGTGAGAGCCGTGCAAAAACTAGAGATAAAACGTCACACCGCGTCATCATCATCATCAGCGTCACAAATCAATGATCATACGTAATAGGTGCAAATATAGATAACTGTTTATCTACAATAATATAAAAATGATCTGCGCTTTATTTACTGCTTACCAAGCAGCACTCTATACAGCCAAACGGGCATAAAGTGTATTTCAAAAACATATTTGATTATTCACCGACATCTTTCATGAATCTTAAAAACAAGAGCAGTTGCAAACATCTCCTGATATAAAATGCGGCAACCGAGAAAGAAAAAAGAGTATTTGAGTTTCTTCTTTCATGTTTAGTTTTTGGGATTTCTGTTGCCATTGATTTGACATTGTTAATCTTTCAACAGAGCCGAAACACAACAGTGGAGATCTGGGTGGACAGTGTTTCGTTGCAACCTTTCACACCAGGCGAATGGAGATCTCATCAATCTGAGAGCATTCAAAAGGTGCACTTGTCATTACTTACACTATTATGTCTACCATTATATGGGCTAGGGTGTTCTAGGTCTAGAGTTCAAGTTCATCGCGACGCTATTCAATAACTGTAGGAAACAAGAAACTAACCTGGGCGTTTATTTGCACGTAGGCGTGAACGCAGCTCCTGAAACTCCGTGCAGTGGATGCCCGCGGCAATCCCATTCCCAATGCGACAATAGTCCTCAACCAAAAGAGGTCTGGTTTCCCATTTGGCTCCGCAGTTGCAAACAACATCCTCACTAACGCCGCTTACCAAAACTGGCTCACGTCCCGGTTCACTGTCGCTACATTCGAAAACGAAATGAAATGGTACAGTACAAAGGTCACTCAGGTGAAGGAGGACTTGTTGTGCGCAGTGGAAATTTCGGCAGCACCTCGGCAGCACAACAAGAGAGTCAGGTCACAACAAGAATTCACGTTATACCAAGGAAACAAGAACCAAAAACAAAATATCTCAATAAAGTGGGATATCAACTCTTCCTCTCATCAGTTCTAGGACTGACTTATCGAGAGAACCTAAATAAGCTATTACAAATCACACAAACAGCGAGACAAACGAATTTTACGTGGTTCGACAAATTATCTACGTCCACGGGGCAAGGAGGGGGGAGATCTACTATTAAGAGAGAGAATACAAATAGAATTTATAATCACATAAATTAAACCCTCAAACAAGCTCTCAAATCTTACACAAATATCTCTCTCAAAAGGATGCCGCCAAAAACCAGTCGAAAAGCCTCTGTGATTTTCTCTTCTTCAGCCGAAAAGCCTCTGCGATTTTCTCAAATCTTACACAAATATCTAAATGTCCAACTTGTTACGTCCAGTACGCTGTGAAGTTAATTCACGACAACGGACTCAATCCACAACAAGTTGGGAATCCGAATGAGAGTCCAAACAATCTCCCCCATCAAAACCAACTAATCCAAACCGGCTGCATCGTAAAGACTGCATACGTATCCTCTTACCCAAAGAATCAAGCATCACGTAGTTCACCTAAATGGCCGCCAACAGCCTCAACAATCACGAATATGCAACAAGTTACGACAATGATCAAACTTGTTGCTCGGAACCATCTTAGTGAGCATACCGTCAGATTATCCTTCGTGTGGACTTTCACAATCTCCACATCACCATCGTCAAGAACATCCCGAACGAAGTGATAACGAACATTAATGTGCTTCGTCCTTGCATGAAAAACCTGATTATTCACCAAATAGATAGCGCTCATGTTATCACAATGAATGGTGACGGACCGTTGCGATATACCAAGTTCCTCCAAAAGTCCCCAAAGGCAAATAGCCTCCTTCACAACCTCCGTAATCGCCATATACTCTGCCTCCGTCATAAACAAACCCACCGTCGACTGTAAGGTACATCTCCAACACACCGGTGCACAGGTCAAAGTGAACACATAACTCGTCGTAGACCGACGCTTATCCAAATCCTCTGCATAATCTTAATCAACGTAGCCAATGTATAGCTTCCCACCTGCAGTGTCTTGTTCGAAAACCAAACCAACATTGAGAGTACATCGCATGTAACTCAAAATCCATCTCATGGCGTCCTAATGACCTACTCCTGGATCATGCATGTATCTCGAAATCATGATCATCGTCTGTGACACATTCGGCCTTGTACATATCATCGCGTACATCAAGCTCCCAACTGTGCTTGCATATGGAGTCTTCGACATCAACTCTCTATCTTCATCTATCTTCGGTGAAAGGTCACCTGAAAGTTTCAAATGAGCTCCCAAAGATACACTAACTGGCTTTGTATCCATGCTAACATGAAATCGATGTAGTACATTCTTCAAATAAGCCACCTGTGTCAAATAAATTCTGCCCTTCTTCTTGTCTCTGTCGATCTCCATCCCTAAAATGCGCTTCTCCTCACCCAAATCCTTCATCTCAAACTCCTTTAAAAGTTGTACCTTCAACTCATCTATAGCAGATCTAGAAATAGAGGCAACCAACATGTCATCGACATAAAGTAACAAATAGATGTACGCACCTCCTTTTAACTTACGAAAATATACGCAAGGATATCAAACTTACTCCGAGTGTACGAATGACCAATCATAAAACCATCGAATCGCCTATACCAGTGTCGAGGAAACTACTTCAAACCGTATAGCGATTTCTTCAATCTACAAACCAATTTTTCTTTCCCTGTAGCTCGGAATCCTAATGGTTGAGTCTTATATATTTCTTCATCAAGATCACCATGAAAAAATATCGTCTTCATATCCAATTGATCTAACTCCAAACTATATTGTGCCACCAAAGTTAGCAAAATCCAAATCGAAGAGTGCTTCACCACCGGAGAGAAAACCTCATTATAGTCAATACCTTCCTCCTGTGCATAGCCCTTCGTAACTAACCTAGCTTTGAACCTCAATGGAGTACCCTCAATGCCCTCCTTCTTTGTGTATACCCACTTGCAACAAATTGTCTTCCGCCCCTTTGGAAGCTCAACAAGCTCCCACGTATCATTCTTGTGAAGAGACCTCATCTCCTCCTGCATAACCACCTACCATGAATCAGCCTCCGAACTCTGCTTGGCATTTCTGAATGTAGTAGGCACCATCTCATCGATACTCTCCACCGAAAATGCATACACAACTGTGTCGGCATACCGTGTTGGTATCTATATGTCTCTCCTCTGTCTCTGAACCGCAATAGAATCCTGAACCTGAGCCGTCGGTCCCTGATCCTGCACATCAGTACTTGTATCCTCCGTGTCACCGTCGTGCTCGTTTGGCGTCACCTCAGTCGGCACTCTTATGGATACTGCACCATCTGAACACTGTGAATCTGCATCGATCTCCACCACCTGCGATATCTCCTCTGTCGGGTCGCTCTCCACCTGACGAGAGCTGAGAAGCTTCAAGTAGAAGCCTCATCGAATGTGACGTCCCTACTCAGCATAATCTTCCTATCAACTGGATTTTATAGCTTGTATCCTTTAACACCATGCTTGAATCCTACAAATATGACATTCCTAGCTCAAGGCTCTAATTTATTTGTTCTCAAATGATAAAATGCAAGGCATCCAAATACCTTGAGCTGGTCATAGTCATGTGTTGGCTCTCTAGACCATATTTCCATAGGGGTCTTTCCCTTAATCGTAGATGAAGGCATCCTGTTAATGAGGTGGCTCACATATGATAGTGCCTCAGCCCAAAAGATCTTCTCCAAACCACTTTACGACAATAAGCATCAGACCTTCTCCAGTAAAGACCGATTCAGCCTCTATGTCACCCTATTTTTCTATAGTGTATGACTAACCGTGAAGCACCTCTCTATGCCCTCGTCTCGACATAGCTGTAGAAATGGGTCTGAAGTATATTCACCACCATTGACGGATAGCAACGTCTTGATCTTTCTTCTAGTTTGCAGTTCTAATCTCTTCTTCCACTCCACGAATATATCTAGGACTTCACTCTTCTTTGTCATGGTGTACACCCAAAATCGCTTAGAATAGTCATCAACGAACATGCGGTACGAGGGATCGTAATGTGGACAGGATGGAAGCCAAAGGGGTGCTATAAAATGTGCTTAACTGACAACAACTTCAAGAATCTCCCCACATGAAATGTTGTTTACAAACTGATTGCAGAGTGGAAGTAAGGACATATAGTGGGAACAACTAGTGCTGATGGCCTTTTTGAGGCCCAGCTCTTCCATCGGGACTACAAAGTAAGGTTAAGTCATGCCGCTACAGATACATCACTACTGCAGAGCTTGGTGGTCAAGTCTGCATCTCAGCAAGATACCGCCCTCTAGTTTGGCACCTGAGCTAAGTGAAGAACTTAATTTTCATCATGATTTTGTTTATCACAGAAAGCAAAGAAAGCCATCTTTCTTTGATAAGCTTGCTTTGTTTTAGTTACTAAGGAATACCTGTAATTCATGAAATTGCTCTGGATATATAATGAAGAGGACAATAATGGCAATTTCTCATATTTTTTTATTTGACTTTCTTTTATTTTAGTTTTGAGTAAGGAAGATTTGGCAAGTTTGACCAGATTTTAATTTAGTTTTAATTGTGAGAGATTTGAGGGATTTTCTATTTTTGTAGGATTTTAATTTTGAATTTTGAATTTTAAAATTTTAAATTTTGAATTTTTGGGTCAAATTTGGTAGTAGAGTTAGTTGTGACAATTTAGGATTTCAGAATCTGTAATTTTTTCTCTTTAAAAGACCGTTGTAATCAGATTTAAGAAAGAAGATTTGAATCAATGAAAAGTTTGGTTAACTCATTATTTGTGTGAAGCCTCGGTTGTAAAACCCTAGGCCAACTCCCCTGACTGCTTCCACAAACAGTCGCCACCCTCCCATGTTTCTTATTCATTTTCCCAAACAACGCCCCTGTTCTTCTCCTCCTCCAGCAGCCACCGCCGTCACCTCCTCCCTTCTCCCTTCCACTTCGAGCAGCCCGCCAACAACCCCCCCCCCCCCCCACTTAGAACAATCTCGACGACCTTACTCTTGCTCTTCTCCACCTCGAGCAGCCACCCTTTCCTCCTCCACAAACCGTCAGATCTACCTCAAACAGTCGTCGTTGTCCTCTTGCCCGCGTCCACTTGCTGACTACGTTCTCTCGTCACCTACGTCACCATTTTACACGTTGACCCTGTTAGACCCTAGAGGGGGAGGGGGATGATTAGGGTCTTATACTAATCTAATCCGATTTTATGCTAATTAAAACTTATTAATAAATTATTCTTGCAAGGTGGATATACAATATGTTATGAGCAAGAATATGCAATATGAATAAAAGAGATGTATCTTATATGGTAAAATATATGCAAGGATATATAAACAACACAATGGTAAATAACCTAAACTAAAGATATATTTGTGATAGGGTAATATAAACAATGCAAACAAATAATATGATCACGAAGTTTGGACCTTCCGTCTTACTTCTCCGCTCCCCCACTCTCGAGAAGAAATCCACTATCACAATCAGGTCTTTTACGCTAACCCGAATAATGTTTACACCACACAATATCGGTTTTCAACGCTCACTGATCAACGATCACAATCTCACAATGTAACTACACTCCACACCCTCTAAGTGTTGGTTTCTCCGTGTCCTTTCTCAAGTGCTCGGATACAACCTCTCCTTAGGCTCATAACCCAACGTCACTCCTCTTGGAAGCAACCCTGTCTCTCACCACACACTCCTCTCGGTGTACTAATGTAATACAAAGTGAATCTCACAATTAAAGCTCACAAATCAAATGATTGTTCTCTAAACAAGGTGAGAACTCAATTAAGCACAACTCTTAGTCACAAACCCACAACCCCAAATTATACTATGAATGTAAATATAATAAGCTCAATCAATAGGTTGTGTGTGAACAAAGAGATAAATCAAAACAAGTCTAAACTCAATTTAATCTAGCAAAATAAGTGTGACAAGTTAAGTATAAATAAGCTAGATAAAGAGTTTAAGAAAACTTCTCTAAAACAAGAGTAGATGGATGTAGATTGAAGCCCAAACAAGATTGATGATCTCCTCAAACTCTTGTGAAATTCTCTTCACAAACAAACTCTTAAACACTCTTTTAAACAAACACAAAACAAGCTTAAACCCTTGTTAAACTCTTTTAAAACATTCTTATTGCTCTATCGAAAGATGAGAGCAATTGGGTATTTATAACCTCCCAAAACCTCAGCCAAAAACCCAATAGAAATGACCAAAAAGCCCAAGGAAAACAGCTCAGGAAAAAAGCCATTGGAACCTGATTGACAGTTCGACGGTCGACCGTAGGAAATGCGCGGTCGACCGCGAGCAGGTCAGAAACAGAGCTTTGGCTCTGGACATCAGCCAGTCGACCGTGGCGGTCGAACGTGAAA